CACTGCCAACACCCACAACTCTATGCCTGAGCACTTTTTTTTGGCTCACAAGGGCATGGAGCTCCTGTACACAAAACAAGTCAGAAGTATCAGAGAGTCAGTGTTCCAGAATCAGCCCTCAACCAGTGATGAACAGGGAGCTGGCACAGAAATACCCTAGATTCTCAATCTATTGACTGGATAAACTCTGGGGTATGTTGGACACTGTTTCCTACAGTTGTCCACTGAGACTGAGCTCTAGTTGTGCATGGTAGTAAGTGGCTTAATGACGTACTCTTTTGGCTTCTCTTCTCTGAATCACTTCCCCACCCCCCTTGATATCCAAGACCACGTTACAAATAAACTACTTGCTCTTGAATTCCTATTTCAGGTTTGCTTCAGGGGAAATTCAAATCAAGATAGATGGGTATGGTGGGCAAAGGATGGGTTTAAAAAGGGATGGTTTTGAGTTGTAAATAGAAGTTTCTAGCTGGAGAATTATTTGGCAACCCAGAGCTTATGTAACTCCCACTAATATGATCACTGTCCAAGCACATTAAATAGTCCTGTGAATCTGTTTCCTCCCCTATTCTATCACATGTCTGTCACTTCATGAAAGTTAGAGTCACTCTTCTCAGGTCACCATGGCTTTGTGAATTGCTTTAGGTTGTTAGAATTTGTGACAACTTGTGGCTTTGACTGCCCACCCCTTGCTGCCACCAAGGAGGATGAGCTCACCCAAAGTAGGCTAAAATAGGAAGAAAGAGGAATTAGCACCAGATAAATGAAGTAAAGGCACAAGAAAGAGGTAAAAGTAATTTGCCTTTGGTGCACAATCTTAATAGCCTTGGTCCTTTTGTGACCCTGAGTCACCAAACTGTCATCCTTGAGTCACCAAACTGTCATAGCTAGCAGTATGGAAAAATATTTACGTACTTCTAGAGATGTGCTATAAATTTGAACAATTTTTAAAGCCTAGTAGGGAGAGGAGTTTGCTAAGCGCATCAGCAACTGGCTATATAGTGTTTTGTTTAATATACAAAGTAAACCACTATCAACTTTGCGGGTGTGGTTCTGACTCAGAGCTAGAACATTCCCACCTTGCTAAACTCAAGTTACTAGTAAGAGGATGCTGCATAACTGACACCTTAATTGCCAAGATGTCAATGAAAATTATATTCAGTGCAGGAAAATATTTTACTTCTGATGAAAAAAGTATGTATCATGTAATGATGGAATAGGTTTCATAAACTCACTATGTCAAAATAGTAGATACAGAGGAAAGAAGGATTTTTTTTTTTTTAGTCACAAAGGTACCAAACATGCCATATATACTGGAGTGGGGGCAGAGAGAGAAAGAATGAATGAATGAATGCATGAGAGAGGGCCAGGGAGAGAGGGAGGGAGGGAGAGCGAGCATGCATGCATGCCCCAGCACAGTGCTGGGAATGAGGGTAGGCACCTGCCAAGGGCTGACTTGAATGGTGTGGTCTCCACTTTCAGATCAGAGCCAACTAAAACTGCTCATGAGGCTTTGTGGAGACTGTGATGGTTGGTCCCAGGCCTTCGGGAGAGCAATAGAACTAACTGGATAAAATTGGTATATGCTGGGTATAGGGCAGTGGGAGGGGAGGGTAAGAAACTAGCTGGCTACATACAAGGTCCCATGGTAAAATGTTTGCCATATCCTCCAATATCATGACAGAAATGATGCTGAGAAACACATCATCCTTTATCCATTTTTACAAGACAGAGTGAATTTTAAGTTCAAAGTTCCACCTTTCCTTTATGCTTTTTAGGGGACATTGTGGATGTCCTACCCAGATCCCCTCGGATCGCTTGTACCAGCTCTGGGTGCCCATCCCTAGCTTCTGAGTGCTTTTCTGATAAAGGCTTGCACCTGTAGCCTTCAGAGATTTGCCCTTTAACTCTGGGGCTAGAGGCCTGGACATGCCTTGGGGTGTGTCACCCCTGACCCCCAGAGCAGAGTTGCCAGATAAAATTCAGAGCTCCCAATTAAATTTCAATTTCAGATAATGAATAATTTTTAGTATGAACGTATACTAACATTAGCATATAATGTATATTATGCATGATATACATAGTATACATATAATGTATGCTAAAATTAGCATACAAATGAAAATAATCTTTCGTGAAACACACTTTAGAAAACTTGTTTATCTGAATTTCAAATTTACCTGGGCATCCTGTATCTTTATTTACTAAACCTGAAAACCCTATCCAAGGGAACCCCCAGTCAATGACTTACTGGTATAGGAGTGCATGGTCCAGCTCCCCAAAATAGAAAAACTCAGAAATATACTTTATGCTCCAGAATCCCTTGCAAGATCAAGCTGTGTTCTCAAACTCAGATCTCCCCTGTGACAGCACATCGCTCAGCCTCTTTCCCTTCTTTATTCTGCTTCTATTACTCCCTTACTGATTTCTCCTGAAATTGTTTCATCAATAAATCACTCCCTTATGAATCCTTGTCTGAGGGTTTGCTTCCGGGAGAGCACTACTTAAGACAGATATCTCACAAATTATGCCACACATCAACAATTTGTCATCATGTAAAAGGGATTCGGAATCACTACCTTGAAGAGCATTCTGTTTATTAACTATAATTTACATTGACATTCTTTACAAAAAATCTCCTTTGCCTCATGTGTCCAGTCCTTGGCACCTAGTGAAGAGCCATTTGCCATGCTTTCTGAGAGGCTTCTGGGCCTTGCCTAACCCATTCATATTTTCCCCTGCTTTGAAACTATGAAAGAGAAATAAAGTCAGCCAGGCATCTGATAAAACATCTTACCCACTCTGATATGATATGTTTTTAAAAAGAATGCCCAAGCCCAGCTGCTCCAGGAAAAGAACAATGAATCATGAAGAAATATGCACTGTGGAGGAGAAAGGGGAATTAATTGCTAAGCTGGGTCAAGAAACAGACCAGAGACCAGGACCTTACCATCTCTTCACGGAATCTGCTGCTCCTTATCATAAAATGAGTTACAGGGGAGAATGCAATTCCGCTCGCAAAACCTTAAGAAAAAGGAAGGTCTGACAATTCTACTGCTTGGCTTTGCAATTACTGCAGCTCCAAGCAGAGAAAAAGGACTGAACCTCTTTAGGTGACAGGAGTTGAGAAAAGATGAGCCACCTCCCGCCTCACCTGTCTAAGGAATACTTTTGGGATAATGTAATTCACGGCACTGTGGCAGTCCATGAATGAGTCATCACTGTGGTAACCGTGTGTTCTAGGACATTTTGCCCTACTGATGCCCCAAACATCTTGACTTTCTTTCTCCGTGGGAAAACATTGTGCTTGGCACGCATAAGACAAAGCACCCCTAACTACTCTGTTCTGATTATCTATAAACCATTTTGGGGATTTGCAATTTAAAAAATAAAGCCTGCTTAGAGATCTCCTTTCAGTTTACAAGAAAAAGAAACTCCTGGGTCAATGCACCAGTATAAAACACGTCCATATGGCTTTATAGGTTTACAATTATTTATATCCAGCAGTAGATAAGACGCAGGAATAGACCCAGGCAGATAGATTCTGGAAGAACAGTGCAAGCTCCACATTACAAATAAATTACAAGGGGCATGCTTGTTCCTATTAAATAACTATAAGACAAATTCATTTAAAATGGAATAATCTAATTTTGTTTATTGGGCTGGAAGACTTTTTTTTTTAACAAGAACTCCATCTTTCCTCTTTTATAATATATTGTCCCTCTTAAATGCTAGTTGAAGTACAGCTCATCTACAGAGTCCCCAAGAAGCTGATCAAAAATAGCGACACTAAACTAGCTGCTTACCATGTCTAAATAATTTTGACCACTGAGAGTCAGGAGTTCAACAAGTGAAAACAAAAATGAGATTTTTATATAAAGTTATGGGACACAGTGTGGGGCTACCCCAAGGAAAGCCAAAGAGAACTATTTGAGGGACAAAATTAACCATGACTTAAAATTTTTACCATAAAGGAAATAGATCTACATTCTTGAAGATTTGGAAAATACCAAATACAGTGATATTCTTTTGGTAGTGGATGATAAAGGACTTATTTTATGCTTCTTTATTTTTTTCTGTGCAGGTTTACGCATAAAGTGACAGTAGTTTTCAGGAACACTACAGAGCAAAACAGAACAGGTATGGACAGTCACCACCCCCAAAATACCCATATTCAAGAGTGTCTTCTCTAGGGGAATCTGCTGTTCCACGGTCTAAAATGACTTACAGGGAAAATGCAAGTCTGCTTGTAGAACCTACGGAGTTTTCAGTACCTGCCTCTGCAAAACTACTGCAGCTCCAAGCAAACAAAAGGGAGTTAACATTTGGACAAACCAGCGGAACATGAAGGTAGACCTTTTATCTCATTGCTGCATTTGATAATAAGCTAATCATGAAAATAAGCCTTGACTTATGTCCCAACAGGATAAGGAAAACCAAGCCTGATATGAAATGACTGTGCTCTTGGCTATGCTGTCCACTTCTTAATTTCCTTGACAAGGTGATAGCTCTGTGCATAAGAAATTCTCACTTTCTCCCCTTGGTAATGAATTAGAGGAGGTAGAACTGGAAAAAAGTAGAATTTATGCGAATCCTGTGAGTGAATTCAAATGATGGAACTATTAACGATTTTTAAAATGCTGTAAGGGAGGTATATGACACGTAGAGGTTTCTTTTTCAGATGCTTAAACAGAAAAAGATCCACAAATCAATGAAAACAATTTATTTTCCCTGCGTATCTCCATTTGAACTGCAGCCCTAAGACCCAAAGTGAAGTCTCACCTATGCCAGTAACACAGATGATCTCAATAGCTGTGATTCCAGAAGAAATCTAAGAGTTTTCCATTTCAACTAAAAAAAAAATTCCCCAGGCTTTTCACATTATGGGTTAGCAGTCCTCCAAGAGGCGATACTTTACAGGTTCCAGGAGCCTTGTTTGGATGGGAACACATCAACCTTATTCTCAGGCTGTGCCACTGCCCAATCTGTATGTGTCTTACCTGTCTGAACCAGGGGTTGACTTTAAACTCCGAAAGTTTTGGCTGTCTAAGTCCAAGCTGTAGCTCCGCCCACTTTCTGGTTTGGAAGTTATGATTTCTCCTCTGGTTGCCGATCTAAACTTGCTAAGAAGAAATCTGAAATTACAGATACATACTTCAAAGTGAGACAGGAAAGAAAGCATTTTAAAATATCACTTCAAGAACACCATTTCTAACATTTTCAACAGTAAACAATTCTTTAATAAAGTGGCCTTGGGGCTGAGAGGTTCTGGGGGAGTCTCCAGCACCTCTGTAGTTGAGTGTCACGGGTGGTGGAAGAGCTTGTGACATTCTCCCAAGGCCATACCACCTGTCGGTAAGCCATGCCGCTGTCCCTGCTAAGAAAAAGACCATTGACTTTGGGGACTCACCACTGTCACCTGAGAATGGAGGAGCATGGCCTGGCCCCAGCCTGCTTGCAGGGGTGCTGAAAACAGGAAGCTTGAAAGTGGCTTGCTTAGAAAGGGGAGCAAGAACAACCCTCTGAGGCAAACCGAAGTGGCAGCTTCTTAGACTCTGCCCTTCTTGTTTCCTGCCAGGCCCCTGAGCCTGCAGTGATGCCTGGCACACAGTAGAACCCAGCCAATTCCTTTGCAATAAAATTCCTGTGCAATAAGTGACTGAACTCATGTGGTGGAAGCTGTCTTTCTCTCTCCCATGACATTTCTCCCTGCGGGAATGAAGTTTGAATAGTGGAGTGCCTCATGTAAGTTGAAATCAGACTGCATTCCCATTTCACTAAAGTATTTGGAACTTTAGCAAAAACAGCTTTTCAGGAAAGGATATTCAAGTCACGATCCAGGCTATCCAGTGCCCAAACATGGGGATTTCCAAATGCACTTCAATACAAAACCAAAGCTACATTCTTTTTGTGATGGCATTCGGACAACCGGTTCATTTACTTCATGTTGTACAGTTTTCTAGGGGGAGAATGTATTCCAAAGGTATTGGGACAATCTTAATAGAATGTATGCATTTATCTCTGTTTCAAAGACCCCTGGAAGAGTGTCTTCTCAAAGTGTCAGAAGCTTCAATCTAACTGGCAAATCACATTTTTGGTGAGAATAGCACTTACTATAATGTCAGCCTAGGCTGCTCTGAGAACCACCTTGTACATGTTCCAACCTCCACACTTGAACTTCTGGTGTCTCCTCCACCTACAATCACACCCCAACCCACAATTTGGCTGCCCTGGAGCCCATCCATCTCTGAAGGTCCTCATCAATTTAATGTCCTTACTGATGGCCCCTGTGCCCTCCTGACATTGATTATCTAAGCTGCTTATTAAATATTTACTTAATTATTTATTGCCTTATGACATCTCTTATAATTAACTAACAGCTCATCTTGTTTTAGAAAAGCATCAGGGAGCTCACATTGTCATCTTTTATTTTCCTAGAATTCTTCTATATATATATTTTCAGATGTGTACCTTTTCTCCCCAGCTAGGTGTTATATTCCTTGAAGACTGAGAACCATCAGATCCCAGTTCTGAGGTCCAAAAGAGCTCAGTACACTGCTATGATGGTTTTTAGTGACTCACAGTACATACAATTCATTGTGTTGATGAGTTACTTACTGTCTCCCAGCTCCAGGCCCACCATTCTGTAACCTACACAATGATGTCTGCGCTAGGGTCTATGAACCACAGGTTCTAGAAGCACTGTGGGCTCTCAGTTATTTATTCAATCAAGCCATTGTTTTTGATGAGCCAGGTGCCCTATGCTGGATGCTATATAGCGTGCACACACGTGCGTGCACACACACACACACACACACACAAAGCCACAGGTTCACCAAGGGAGCTCATGATTCAGTGTGGGGTATGTGAATGGGGGGGGAGGTGTCAGAGTGCAATGCAACAAGTGATTCACAGGTACAAGGCACTGTGAGAGCCCTGAGGAGCAACAAATGGAGTCAGTGTGGTGGAAGATCGTTACACAGGATGTATGGTTACTCTAGGCTATGTTTCCCATTCCTCCCTACTCATCAGTGCAGACATGGTTAGTCATGGGTGTTTGAATTAAGTGACATTTAGGTTTCATTCCTACTCACAGTTCAAGATTCTTAAAAAAACAGACTTGCTTTAGAGCCAGATAAAGGCTCAGACGCTGGCAGTTACTCACACTGGTTTCTGCCAAGAGAATGAAGTGATACTACCTGGAAGGGCCATAAAGTGACGTGGAGCCTATTAGAACTCTCACTACCTCAGCCACAAAACTGACCTGAGAAATGAAGACTGCAGAATGCAGGGGTACGAAGCAGCACTGTACCTTCTGACCCAGACAGTCTGCATTCTGGGGGCCTCTTTTCTCCCTTGACAGAACTCTCTTGCCCCATTCCCCAATGCCTCCTTCAATCTTGCTTCCCTATGTACCTCCCATTCCTATTCCCAGTACTTGGCACATATATTTGCTTTCAGAATGAAGTTATTGAGGTGGACAAATGTGATTTTTTTTCCTTAAGGAAACCTACATTTTAAACAGGGGATATAATGTTGAAAGCCCAGTTAATTAACCTTTCATTTGGATATTTCCTATTATCAGCACCCAGGTTGGGGGTGGGGAGGGGTGTTGACATTCTACAACAGGCCCTCATCACTTCTATAGACAAGAAATGTTCTACCCAGGAACAGCAGGAACAATATGGTACAAGATCAGATATGCCAAATGAAAGAAAAACTCTTACATGTTCAGGGCAGAAGGGACCTTTATTTATCTAAGACAGAAAGTAATTAAAACTGCATTTCCCAAGGAGAATAATAGAAGCATGCTATCCCGGTCAAGTCTCTGACTTCCTCTGGGTCACTGAAGTGCCATCAAACTTGAAAAGTGATGGAGTCTTTATTTCAGAGATGTCTAGAATAAAAGTAAAAAATTCCCTTGGAAATGCTGTGTCTTACCCCTTCCTCCTGGGCCCATCACGGCTGGCCTTCTGCCCAGCTGAAGGTGAAGTGTCTGACTTTTCTGCATCCTGGTGGGTTGGCTCTTGACTTTGTATTTCTTCAGCTCCTCATTAAAAACAACCAGAAGATGCATTTGTATATAGAATGGCCAGAAATGAGAGCAGTTTTCTATTCTTCATTCCCTTTCCCACTAATAGCACAGGACAAAGAAGTCTGTAATAATTGGCAATGACATTCCCATTCCATGTTTCACAGTCACAGAGTAATTTTCTGATACTGCTGAGTGTTCCAGAGCTAAAGGTGGACTCTGATCAGGATTCATCTATAGGAAGTTTCTGAGATAATCTTTCTAGGGATGACTGCAATGGAGGAATGATACATCGACCCTCTACGGATATTTTTAGGGCAGAGGAGCCTGGGTTTGTGAGAACTCCAAATTCCTAGAGACTGAATTCTAGAAATTATACCCTAATTTCTGAACACATAAGCCACATTTCGTTGGGGAGTGAGCAGCTGTGCACATACTGCATGATTTGATAGACAGTCTGTACTCTGGAAGGTGCCGGGGTTTGCATGGGGGAAGTAGCCATAGCTAACTGCTTAATTCTAAGTCTACTCCATTGTGTCCTTCTGTGGCATCAGACTTAATGTTAGTCATCCTCACTAAAGTTAGCCCTTCCTCACTAGTGCCACGCCAGAAATGACCCCATAAAAAGTTCCAAGCCTCCCAGTCCTACCTGCTAGACTCAAAGCAAGGGCATTTGTCTCCAGTATACAAAAGATGATATACTCCAAGAACAGGTCAGATGATGCCTGCTCCACCTTTACTACCCCCATCCATGAGAAATATGTTCCGAAACACAAGTTTCCCTCAATATTTAACTAATTAAATTATAGTTTGGCTGCACAGAATGGCATTCTCAAGGTGGGGTGTTATTTGCATTTGGTGACAGCAGAGTTCTTCATTAAATCAAACTGTCCTGCACATTTTAGGCCATTTAGCATCTCAGCCCATTTAGTGGGCTGCCTACTAAATGCTGTTAATTCCCCTCCAGTCAGTGTGCCAACCAAAAATGCTCCCCTGGTTTGGGAGAGGGAGGTGCAGCATACAATATCATCCCTTAGTTGAGAAGCACTGGATTAGGAAAAAATAACATTTAAAATAAATCTGAAAACCTCCTGTTGAAAAATCAAGGATTGCTTTCACAATGTGAATCATTTAAATCATCTGTTTTATGTGACTTTCTTAAATCTAAGCAAAACAGTGGAAGTGCATTCAGGAAAAGAACCGTGATGAAGATAAATGGCTCCTTTGAAAATATGTGTCAGATATATGGAAAATCACCATGGATTTTATTTTCTACTGACTCCCTCTTCCCTTGTATGAATTGCAGAATTAGATTTCATTGGGTTCTGAAATGACCTAAGGGATTCAGGAAATTCAACTGTGCTCATTTGCTACATAACATAAGGGAGTTATTTAGCTTACCACAATGAAGATCAAGACCATTTTTGGAACCCAATAATTGCTTTTATTACCTGGACTTCTTCTTAAGATGGACTGTCGGACAACATCAGTGCCTAGAACATTGACTTGTTTGAAACGTTTTGCCTTTTCTTCAAAAAACCATTCACCAGTTACAATCCGTAGCTGTCTACTCAAGAGAAAGGGCAAGAATATTGATATTCAATTATTCAGTTAATTACCTTAAAAACCCCCAATTAAGTAAAAAATAGCCAGTTATTCAATTAGCCATTTCAGACTCTTGAGTCTTTTATGGTGATTGTAATGGCCACTATTAGCTGAATAGATATTATGTACCAGGTATTGCTAATTACCCTTCATATTTGATATATTTTTATCTACATACCAACCCCATGAAAAATTATTATTCCCCATCTCATAGACGTGGAAACTGAGACTTACAGCAATAAAAGGACATGTCTCATATCACAAAGCTGATAAGTAGTAGAGCCAGGATCCCATCCCAAGCAGTCTGGCCTAGGGCTCAAGTTCTTAATCATTGCATTAGTGGGTAAGTAATCTTCAATGGAAACAATGGGGAACAAGTGAAGTTCTTGAGTTACAAAGGGGCCCTTATAAGCCTCTGTTTTAGAACGATGACAGGGTTAGAGTAAAGAGAAAACAGGACAAAGAGACAGGCTGACCATGGCAATGGTCCAGGAGAGAGATGAAAAGACTCATGCTAGAGCAATGGCAAAACTAACAGAGAGCAGGAAATACATTAAAAAGGTAGGTGGTGGTAGGGTCTGCCTGGATTTCACAATCAACTGAATGTTGAAAGTGGAAAAGAATGGTCTTTGAACAACCATACCCATCTTTTACACCCCACATGCAATGGTTATGCAAACCCTTTGTCCAGGTACACAGGCCTATTTACCATTCTCAGAACATGGCTCCTGGAGCTACTAGGACAGCAGCATTCACCTACTACTGCCCGAACACCTCTATGAAGGATTGCAGTGAAAATGAGCTTGAAAGGTAGGATTGGGTCATAGAGTGGAAATCTTTCAATGTCACACTATGAGTTTGCAATGCCCTTCTGGAGACGGTGGGGAAGCCTGGACGTTTTCCTAAAGTTCAGATTGGATCATATAATCTCTGGAGCATTATATGGAGAAGGGAGAAACCAGAAGCAGATAGGCCAGTTGGAAAGTTATTGCAATAGATAGGATAGGAAATGATGAAGATGTATGTCAAGGTATCCTGGGGGCAAGGGGTGAAAAGAAAGATATAGATACTTGGGCCACTGAGGATGAGAATCAGAAAGATTGGTAACAAGTTTGATATGGTGGCTGAACAAAAGCAGCTGAGAGTCAAATAGGGATTTCTAGCCCCATAATATTGTATCCATGTGATTCAGCAACTGGATTTAGCAATTAGATCCTAAATATAAAAATCATTCCAGAAAAATATGTCAATTTATTCCCCTGAGCCATTACCCTGAAATCCTACTTCCAAATGTAGGAGTCAGATATGAAACATATTCCCACTATTGGGAAAAAAGTGAGAATGTTATCCTTGGAGCAAATTATTCACTGAAAGGAAAGACCATAGCATGTACAGCTCAGATTTACTCTCACGTGGTTAGATCATCTATTGAGAAACAAGGACTACTGGATTAGCTCTAAAAGTATATAAAATATATTTACAAACTATGTCAAATCTAAGAAGATCTAATCCACCAAAACCAAATGCTTGAATAGGTTAAGTGTTTTCTGGATACATCTTCAGTGCTCTGTAGACTTATATTTCGTTACTTACGTTGGAAATCTAGATGGTAACTAGGCTATTCTAAATTCTAAACATGTTGTCTCCTCAGGGTTCCCCTCCCTTAGTTATTCACCCAAATGGTGACCTAGGTACTGCTATGGCTGAACTTTGCTGATGGAATTAAAGTTACTAGTTAGCTGACCTTAAAATAGGGAGGATAGTCTAGATTATCTAGAGGAGGAAGTCAGACACTGCGATGCCGCAGAAGAGGGAGTCAGAGAGATTCCAAACCCAAGAAAGATCTGACATGCTGAGAAAGCTCTGAGATGTAGAGATCCAAACGCAAGGACCAGAGAGAGGACCCTAGGAGCTAAGGCTGGCTCTTAGCTAACAGCCAACAAGGCAATGAGAGTATCATTCTACAGCCACAAGGAATCAGATTCTGCCCACCAAAATGAGCTTAGAAGTGGAATCTTCCCAGAGCCTTCTTATAGGAGCTTGGCCAGCTGACACCTTGATTTCAGCCTTGTGAACCTTGAGTAGAGAAACAAGCCGAGCCAACCCAGATTCTGAGATACATACATTTGCTTTGTTTTAGGCTGGTAAACTATGACAACTTATTATGGCAGCAATAGAAAACTAATACAATAATTAAACATAAAAATATATTTGTTTTAATATTCAACTTGGGAAATGACTTACACAGGTTGTCAGAAGATAAACATGGAGAATTCCAAAGAGCAATAGAGCAGAGGCAGGTAAACCTATGGCCCCTGTGGGTGAAATTCACCCGACTACCTGTTTTGTATGGCCCATGAGCTAGGAATGGGTTTACATTTTTAAATGACTGGCAAAATCAAAAGAATATCTCATGACATGCAAAAATTATATGAACTATATTTGAAATTCAGTGTCTATAAGTAAAGTTCTATTGGAATATGGCCATGTGTATTGTCTTGGGCTGCTTTACTAGTACAATTGCAAAGATGAATAGTTGCAGCAGAGACAACATGGCCTACAAAGTCTAAAATATTTATTCTCTGGCATTTCATTTTTAAAAAGCTTTGTCAATCTCTGCAATAGGACAAAGAGTTTGCACAAAAAGAAACAAGAATAAGAGAAATAATAGAGATCAATGATTGAAAACCACCCAATAGAGGCATGCCAAACCCTCAGGGTTTTTTCTTCGGAGGGAATGGGTATGTTCTTGGGATATGGGGTGAGGTGGATAGCACACTGACAGCAGTTTCATGTGTGATAGGAAAGGGGACACACACCCTATCTATACGTCCCAGGAAATGGGCCTCCATATCATCTTTACCACGTATGCCTAGAGCTGCCAACACCTAACACAAATAAGATGTTCCCAGAATTGTTAGTCATCACCTCTTTCAATCCGCGTAAGGACAATAACTGTAAGCCTTGTATTTGTTCAACTCAGATATGCACTTGAGTTATTGTCATTTCAGAGCACTGTGACAGAAGAACAATCTCTTGGGATTATGGCTTTGGCATCTTCTCAGGTCCTGGTGGTAGATGGCAGGCCTACTAGAAGACCAGGGTACTAACCCCTAAGGAGTGCACAGCATGCACCAAGCAGTATGCTAGATATAGATACAGATATAGATGATTCCTCAGTCTAGGCCATAAAGGAGCTGTTATTATTCTCAGTTCACAGAGAAGGAAACCAAAGCTCATATGGGTTAAAAAACTTGTGCAGTGTTATAAAGGTATTATGGCAGAAATGGGATTGATACTAAAAGCTCACACCCTTTTATGTTTGGCAAAATTGTCAGAAGAGGACTCTCTGCTGTCAGCTATAACAAGGCTTCATGTGGAAGGGTGAAAACTACAGAATAGTGTGTAGCACTTCATATGCTGGGCTGTGAGTGTGTGTCTGCACACACGTGCATTGGGGGGTAGAGTGAGAGGACAGAAGGATAAAACAGGAAAAGAAAATAAACATGCTTGCTACCTACTATGAAATTTATATCCCTCTCTGCCACATATCAGTCTAATATTTGAAAAACACAAGACTTGAAATAGATGTTGTGTTTCCTCTAGGTCGCACACTGAAGAATGAGTTTGACTGAAATTGAGTCACACTCATTATTTGTGATTAATGATGACTGAATATTCATTCAGAATGTATGAGGCCTTAATTTTCCTTAACATTAATAAACTCCTGGAACTTCAAAGTTTCACTCAAAATTTTATTTAGATGTAAAGTCACTAAGTTCTTCTTTGATTTGTAGGGGAAAAACAGGTAGCCTTACCCTGAAAAAGAAGTCTAGTGACCAAAAGAGTCACTCTCTGCCTTTTATCTTCTTAACTATTGGAGACATCTGGGATAAGATAGACTTATTCGATATGCTGAATAAGTTATGAGTTTCCTTCTTATTACTCATCAGGAAATGTATGAGAATTATTTATAAATTTATTCATTACACATCAAATATTTATGCATTCCTACTATGTGTTAGGCCTGGTGCCAGGGTTAAGAGTACAGATGTGAGTAAGGGAAACAAGGACCCTGGCCTCCTAGAGATGATGATCTATGTTTATTCCTTTCTCCCTTTCCAACCATGAAAAGTAAAAAGAAATCCCTAGAGACATTATGGTGAAACTGCAGAACACTACAAAGACAACATCTTAAAAACAGAGAGGGAAAAACCCAGATTACATACAAAGGAATGACAATTAGAATGACAGCTGACTTTCAATAGTAAGCATGAAATCCAGAAGCCAATGAAATGGTATCTTTAAAGTTCTAAGAGAAAAATAACTATCAACCTAGAATTGTATAACCAGAAAAAATAAGGGGAAATAAAGATATTTTCAGCAAAATAAAAACTGAAACACTTTATCATCAACAGAGTTTCACTAAAGGAACTTCTAAAGGTAAAATAGATTGGAGTTATAAAAGAAATGGTGAAAAATGAAATTAGTAAAATGTGGATAAATCTAAACAGTGATGTATATACAAACATTATAATATCTAAATTTTTGAATAAAAAAATAAAATATGTCAAAGGACAAAAAGTATATACAAGCCAGGGAGAAGATATTTGGGGTTTCTGAATATTAAGTTCCTTTTATTGATTAGAAGGGTAAAACAAATGATTTGTAAAATTAAGTATGAATGTTGTGATTTCTAGGGTAACCGCTGAAAATAAAAACTCATATATAATATCTACAATAGTCAAAGGATAAAATGAAATGAGAAAAATATACTTTCATTAATCTATAGCTAATACAAATAAAAACAAATATTACAGTAATCACAATAGTAGAAACAAATGTAAATATTGCAGTAATTACAATGATATAACTTGACTAAACTATAGTTTAAGAAAAAATATTGTCAGATTAAACTCTAAAAATTATACATAGAATATATGGTTATCATGTATATGTATA